GCAKCACCACCTCTGWAGRTGCTCGCCACTCGCGCTTGCGAAACGTCAGAAATAATTTTTCCCGCGGGAGTCTAAAAACCCGAAAAACTCATCAGTTTCAAGAAATATCTGCGATATGCAACAATCCTTTAATTCTATATAAACTTCCACACCTAGTAAGGTAGATTGGAATGCCGATCTTAATAATTTCCGGATTTGCCCGCGTTTGCCAGCATAGTAGGCCTAATTTTTGACAGCGCAACGTAATTGTCGCCAAACTGGCAGGCCTATAAGCGCCAAATCGCCGGTTATCCGTGTGTATTTGCGCGATGTTTTTCGACTATTAAATTGGGAAAAATGTTTTTCCGACAATTAAAGACAAGGTGTACAAGAACCAGTCAGCCAGAGTCTGAGAAAAGTTGGGCAATAAAAACAGTAAAAAATTACACTTTGAGACTAACCGACATGAATCGTGGATGTTAAGGCACGTTTGGATGCCTAGGCTCTTCTGGCAATATTTGGAACTCTTCTTGGCGGAACTTTACAGGATCCAAACACAGCGAATCTCCGGAGGTTTGCCCATAAGCAAACACCGACAAATAATTTCTTGGTGGCAGAGTAAAATGTAGGAAAACCAGGAGACAAAAAATACTCATTTGACTCTATTGATCCATTTCTGTGCTAGAAGTGGGGCGTATTTTTTCGACACACCGAAATGCAGAAAAATAAAAAAATTGAATTGGCAATAAAAACCCGGTTTTTTATATTCTTCTTTCCGTAAAATGTTTCGCAGACAAAGGCGCGAGTGTGTCAACAGGAACTTTATATTTTATTGGCCGGCCTCCTGCGATGTTTGGTTTTATTTTTAATGCACTTCCTTCCATTATTCGCTTTTGCACTTCAACGTATACGCTTCCTTTGCACAATATTGCACCTTGCATTGAAATTGATGGAGCCGCATTTATTTTACTCTTGCGCTGGGACGATTATTAATGATCTCGCCACTACATTTAAAGGATGTTGGAAAAATGCGACACATTTTACATTTGTCTATTCCAATGATCAACATTCGATGCAAACATTTCTGTTTAGAGTGCAGATTCGAATCATTCCATCAAGTGCAAGCTATAACAACTTCAAGACTGAAAAAGTTGGGGAAATAAAGCTGTTTTACTGTTGTACATCCATTTAGAAGAGCGGGGACAAAATTAGCACTTAGAATGCACGAGTGATATTAAATCGGGCCAATCCAATATTTCTGTCAGAATCAGGAATGGGCGGGATTCGGGATAAGACAACAGTGTATTTGACGCCACTATGTAACTTCGTCGTATTTCGCACGACTTCTCATAAAAATTTATATAAATTGTGTTTC